TAATAAAATAAATATTAACTTATTAAATAGGTGATTAAAACTAATAAAATAATCTATAAACTATGTAAAAATATTAGAAAAAATATGAAATATAATATAGAGCTAAAATAAATATATACTAATATAGAAAAAAAAATTCAATTACAATATCAAGTCAATCCAATATTTTTTTCTTTTGGTTTATTCCAGTAACTTGGTTGGTAATATTTCTGAGACTTCTAACTTAAAGATTCTTGCCTATTCAGCTACTATAACCAGGTATTATGACCTTGATATCTATTTTTCTGAGCTAGTCTTTACAGTAAGACTGTCAAAAATCCAGCTATCTCTTTATTTGAGTCTTCTTAAATAAACTTTTTGTTATACAATTTTAATGAATTTACATAGTCACAAGAACTTATTTAGTGTTTGTACTGCCTGATTTGTCAGTTTGCATTTCTTTGTATAATGCTATACTTACACAGATATCTTATGACCTGCCAGTCATATTGGTGTAACTACCATTACAGGTATCCTAACCTAATCATTAGTAAAAATTGCTGTAATATAAATATTATATAAATGATTATCCAAATTTTTACTATCAATAAGATTTGAACACCTAACCTACCACTTGAAAGGTTGACAACCTGATCACTTTACTAGGTCATCACACCTTTTGTAATTGTTTTTTGATTATTAAATTAAGATATTTGTAATTATAGTTGTACTAACATAACTGACAAGTTATAAGGTACCTGTATAATCTTAGTTATACAAAAAGATGCAAACTATATCAGGCAATACAAACTTAAAATAAGTTCTTGTAACTGTATAAATTTATAAAAACTAAGAAAATAGAAACTTATTTAAAAAATCCTAAATAAAGAAATAACATAAATCTTCAATAGTATTATTATAAAGACTAAATTTTAAAAATAAATACTAATATAAAGAAATTAGATAAACAAGAAACTCTAAATAAAAGATATTATCAACCAGTCTATTAAAATCAAATTAAAGAAAAAAGATACATATTAGGTTGAACTCAATATATTAAAGACAAGTCACAGTTCTACCAAGCTATCTGGATTGAAAGTTTAAAAACAACAGAAACATACTAAAATACTAAGAATATGCTATAAAATAATACTGAAATTTGAATAAACTCTGTAAGAATATAATCCTGTTAATAATCCATAAAATGAGTAAGTTAGTTAACAGGAAAGTATACTGAATCTTACAATTAAATGTTGTACTCTAAAATTGTAACAACCTGATGAATATATAGAAAAGAAAGCTTAATGTTGGATTGAATAACATTTAATTGTACAAGAACCAGATAACTATCTGCTGAGTGTAGTATAAAGATTAGAGTGTTTATATAAGTAATCTTCTAGTAGATTATAGATAGAACCTATAGGCGGACTACTTAAAATAGGTAACCAAAAGTTGCATGTGTGACTAGTTGTACACTCACTTTGTACAAATTATATGTATATATAATTAAAAACACAATAAAGGTAATAAGCCGCCGTAAACATCGGCCTTAATAAATAAATAAAAAATATTGCAATTTTAATATTATCTTAAACTCATCAAAAAAAAAAGTGCTAGTTTCTGTAAAGTAAATTTCATACTTCAAACAATATTAAAGTAGAAAATAAAATTGGTCAAAAAATTTTATTACATATTACATATTTATAAACATAAGTTACCCATAGTTTCTCTACTTATAAGCCTTGGTTGCAAATTTTCAGTTATGGTAGTAAGGATGTTAAGTAGAGTCAGAATTTATATTAAATCAATGTACTGACTAGCTAGTTCTATTGAATAGATCACATTTTTAAAACTACTTAACATCCCTATATAGTTAGCTAAGAATTTCGATTAAAAATTTAGGCCGAAATACTCAAAATTTTACTATTGAAATCACAAACTCCTGGAATTGAGCCCTATTTCCTAATAAATTTTGTTTTGGGGCCGTGACCAATTACACCAACAAAGTTGTTTATTTTGATCGACACGGATTAGCCCGAGGAGACATACAAAGAACCGCGCAGCCTATAAAGGATGCGCAGAATTTTTGTAAGGCTAGCAATGCCAGTCTAAAAAATTTCGCACATTATGTGATTCCATTAAAAAAACTTTCGCTAAGAAAAAAACATTTCGCTCATAGGTTAGGTTTAGGGTATTGCTAGTGAGTTGGGTTTAGATGACTATGTTTATACCAAAATTTTACAAGGAAAACTTTTTATGTATTAGGATGCAGAAAGTAGGTAAAATTTTGATTTTCTTGAACTTTTTTCATGTTACACCTGATCTCGAAATCTGATTGGCTAGAGAAATTTTTTAGACAGTTATTTTAATTCAGGCCAGCTGCATAATGCTCAGGCTGCGCAGTGGATTCAAAAATGCTCAATCTGTCCATCCCTAACCTATATCTGTTCCAGGGCATTATAAGGCATGAAACTAGTCTTTACTCTAATTTAATTCAATAGTCAAAAACATACGGCTTTTATGTTTTGAAATGAATACTAATTACGTAACGCAGGTAAATTTAATATATGACATTTATGTTTCGAAAGTATTTCTCCGAACATATACGTACGTATGGTTTAAGTAGTCTATACTAGTGATGCAGAAGAATCATCTCAATGATTGTCGTAACTTGCCGCAACTAGTGATGTGCATTTTCATGTTTTTTTTTGATTTTTTAGCGTACAGTACGTACTGTATGTACAGTACATATGGTTATTTCTAGTGATCTGATTGGTTGACATGATTCATATACAAGTGATCGGCAAAAATTTTACGTACATTTTACGTACAGTACTGTACGTGTCACATCACTAGCCGTAACTATAGCAGATTTAGGCATGATAGCCTTAACATTACTTACTTAGTTACGGGACGATTCTTCTGCATCACTAGTCTAAACCTGGCACTAAAGTGTCTCGACTCATCTTCATATCTCATTTGTGCGAAAATTTGAAGGGCTTCAAAGACACCCTGATTTTCTAATCTGGTGTTTCTCAAGTATCAGGGATTTTTCATTATTTAGACAACGAAAAAATCCCTGAAATCGACCGAAATTCAACTCCCTAGGGCTGCAAAAGTTTGTGATACTAAACGATATTAAGTTTCAAATTGTCGACAAATATAGAAATTTTCAAAAAAATCCTTTGCATACGTAAAGAGTTTTAGCGATTTGAAAAATTGACAACTCACATGATTATCAATTCTGCAGGTACCGGAGGATTCAATGATGAGATTATAGGTGCAGGTTTATATAAAATAAATTCTACGTACCTTTAAATTATAAATTTATTAACGTTAAGAAATCCCAAATCCACTTAAATTTGTCTCCACTTACAACATATGTAATTAAATTTAGCATATGTCATTTATGTTATAACGATATCATTTTATTGACCGACTTTTCGTTGGTTATTTATTCTTTCTCGTTTAATTTTTGCAATATTAATATTTTAATGTTAAAATTTGAGTTTAATCTTAGAACTTAAATATCATGTATTAATGATATTATTAAGAAAAAATAAAATAAAAATAAATAAATAAAAAATAATTTCCGTCGCTATATTTAGATTATGTAAAGAATCGTTATTGCCGAAGGATCCACACCAATAAAAGTTTGACTAAAATGTATGCATGATTAAAAAAAGATCATATATATTAAAAAATTGTCATCAAAGCTTCTGTTTGGAGATTACAAGTCTAAAACAGTACCGATGAAATCGTAATGTACTTGATTGGTACACTTTTAAATTAGACAATGCATTGTACCATGCGTCTCAACCATTAAAGCATACATGAAACCATAATAAATGCTAAAACGAAAAAGTAGAAAAACATTAGAAAACCAAAGCTCTAATGTTTTTGTTTATTATTCTCGAACCTTGAATCTCTGCATAAAAGAGTCAGGGAGTCCTCGCACATACATATACATGTAAGAAGGGTGGTCCAGCAAAAGTATTTTATTAAAGGTTTGTTACGTGCTAAATATTCATTTTATCCTAATTGGATTTGATCGTTGTTTTGTGGTGTTAATCGAGAATTAATACAAATAATATGCATTAACATGACACAACTTAAAATGCAAACATAACCGCGAAGTAATTTTCATTATTGCATCATTACATATTGTCTGCGAAAAATGTAACTCTAAAGAATGGCAATGAAAATATGTGATCTACTTTTTCTTCTTTCTCATAACCTTTCTGTCTTTTACCATTATCGATCGTCTTTTCTTTCATTAATCAAAGTAACATACATTCATTTTTAAATAAAAAAAAAAATTTATAATAGCAACGCGATTTATTTTCGTATTAAATATTAAACGGCAGTTAAAAATCCTAATATAATTTTTTTCTTTTTAAAGATCCCTTGATCTCTTTTGTTGTCTTTTTCCTTTTTTTTTTTTTCTGCTCTTGAAAACAATAGATCTAATAAATCGGATATATAGATTTGTATATAAAAGACTAACTAATACCTTTTGATATTCGAGTAGTGTATGTACGAGTGGGGACCCCCAAAAAACACTTTTTAATCATACAATCCAAAGTTCCTTTTAATACGCGTTCTCTTTTCTCGATATTTCCTAGATAATGTTTACATGGCTAACATAAACACTTTTGAAAACGTTACTGTACGATTTGGTATGTTACCTCAAAATTTAGTATTAGTGAATGGATCATTTGGTAATCCTGTTCTTTTTTAGCATTACGTATTAGACCATTAACGGCTGAAGAGCTGGTTACTTTACACGCACCACTTCAAAAGAATGTTCTTTCCACAACACCATTCACTCCAAATCAGGTCACCGTTCAAGGAGAAAGAAAACAAGCGTATATGTTTGATCACGTTTTCGGACCAGAAATATCACAAAAAGAGATTTATGATCGTGCCGTAATGAATTTAGTGGATAAGTTCTTGGACGGTACGTGAGAATATCTTGATGTCGCGCAATAAAATTTCACGTGACTATGATCAACTATTTAGGAGATGCGCTAAAGCCATTGCAGTCGATATCGATATCGACATTGTAGGATTCATATTATTCACCTGATCCTCCATAAATGCACCTATATAAGTGTGAATTATAGTGAGCAACGTTTTATTACAGGTTTTGGCCATCAATTCTATCAAGAATGCACCTACCCTAAAATACTTGTTAATTGATTTTTTATTATTTGGGGTGGGTACGTTCTTGATAAAGGTGTCCGAAATTGATGGCCAAAACCTGTAAGAGTTCTGAGTGGCATGTATTTAGAGGAGGTATTCATAGTGTGTGCATTTATAGGTGAATTTATAGATTTGAATATATTGGTTAACCAATAAAACCACAATGCTTTAGCGCATCACTAATTTCACTAATTAGCAAAGATTATTGTCATATAATATGTAATTAAGAATATCATTAATATTTTAATTATTTCTAAATAATTTTGATCTCTATTAGGTTTCAATGCAACTATCATAGCATATGGTCATGCATCATCAGGCAAAACGCATACACTTGGGTTGTCGGGTGACGCTCCCCAATCGAACGAATCGAAGGGCATAATTCCAAGAGCAATGACCACATTGTTCTCCTGCATAAATTCAGCTCAGTACAAAGCGCGAAAATTTGTTATGAGAATTTCGTTTGTAGAAATACATGATGATGAATTAATTGATCTTCTTGGTGATAAAGACTCTCAAGTTCTTGTTCGTGAAGATTCAAATAGTCGAATACATTGGCAAAATCTAAAAGAAATTAAAGTTAACAGTGTGGAAGAAATAATGAGGTAACTGCCTCTTTTATTTATTTCACGTGATGTTTTATAGTATAAGTGGACAATATAGCTTCGCTGATAATAATTTCTACATGATCATGTGATAATTAGAATACTGTATAACATCCGTTTCATATAAATAACATTAATATATTTTAACAAATGTAAAATCTTTGTAGACTTTTGTCTCGCGGCGTATTAAATCGAAAAATTTCAACATTGGATACGGATGCTGGCTCATCGCAAGGACATTTTGCTTTTACGGTGACACTTTCGCAGCAAAAGTTTGTCCCGTTAAATGGTATGCCAACTAATTCTAGTCATATACCACCAACTATTCCAAAATTTAATTTTGGAATATCAAAGCCAAGGGAAGATATAAAGACAAATAAACATTATGATAGTGAATGGATTGCTGTAACAAGTAAATTTCATTTTGTGGATTTGGCTTGGAAGAATACGGTACTACAATTTATAACTATGCAATTAATACTTTGTTTTAACCTTTATATGAACTTACTAATTAATTAATAACTTCATTTATTATAGAATAATGCTACCTTGGTGAATTCACAAGAAAAAGAAAATAATCTGCTTAATTCGACTATCCTTCCTCTAGAAAATGTGATTAACACTCAAGGAATGACAATAAAAGTACCTGATACAGAGTATAAGCAAACAAGAACACTTAAAGACTATCTTGGCAATAACGCTCAAACATTAGTTATATCATGTGTTCCTCCTGCATTAAACCAAATCAAGGAAACTATAAACACATTGGAATATGCAACTCAAGCACGAAACCACAAGAATACTTCTATAGTTCATCACGAGGTGGGATGGCATAATTTGGAACACTTGCAGGATCTCGTATTGAAACTCAGAACTGAAGTAAGGGCACTGCGTGCATCTGTCAGGGCTAACCCTGATACTTCTAATTCAGATTTGGCTTCACAAACTCTTGATATACAATTGATAGAGAAACAATATACTCAGGACTCTCAAACAACGAGAGATCTTAATGGAATCATGATCAATCATAATGATCAAAAAGATAAAGATATTGATGAACTTGAAGAAAAATTATCTCATCTTCAACGTTCTTACGCCAAACTTTCCCAAGATTTGCCAGTGAATAACTCTGATAGTTGTGTTATTTCTAAAGAAAATTTATCAAATATTAATTTATTGACAAAATATTTGGAATCGTTAAAAGATGATGATGAATCATGTTTTATTCAACGTGTATTGCCTAGTTTTCAGAAGGCGATTAATCCTGTGATTGAAGAATATGAAAAATCCATCACTTCACTTGAAGATCAACTTTTGCTTGTCCGTACGGCTTTAAATCACTCAGAAAGCATGATGCGATTACAAGAAGATAAACTACAGGAAGCAGAAGAACTTAATAATCAAAATAGAAGTTTGATTAATGACCTTAAAACAAAAATTTCTAAGTTAACCGAGAGAGAAGAGACAACAGAAAATTACATAAAAGACCTTGAAGCCAAACTTGACACTGAAGTAATGGTTAAAAAGAAAGATCAAGAAATTATTAACGAACTTAAAAATCAAATTAGCAAAATGAATGCTGAAGATAGAAATACTGAAAATCGTATCGATTCTATTGAGACACATTTGGAATATAATGAGAATCAAATTGCTGCCGCAAGCCAAACTGCAAAAGATCTCGAAAAGGCATTGTGCGAGAGGGATGAAGCGTTTATCACTTTAAAAAAGAGATTAGAAAAACAACATATTATTAATGACGAAGAAAAGAAATGGTTAATTGGAGAAATTGAGATGCGTGATCATAGAATCTCACAGTTGGAAAAGAAAGTTGATGATTTAGTCAACGAAATAGCACGTTTGAAACAATCTCATGTCAACGCTAATTACAACTCTCACTCAGGGAATCGTTCTAGGTCGTCATCTTTATCATCTGTTGATAATGTATCTTTTACTGATCAATCTAAATTAGGAACGATAATACAAATTAAAGACTTTCCGTCGGTTTCACAACTCGAATCAAGACTATGTGATCTTCAAAAGATGCATCACGAGACAATGTGCGAATTGGAAGATATCAAAAACAAATACCAGACATGCCTTAAAGAACTTAATAACCTTCATGCACAAATTGATGAAGCAAAAAAATGTAAACAGTCATCACCAGTGACTTCACCCGATAATTCAGACGCTATCCCAACAATAATCTCGGAAAATTTAAGTGAAACCTTAGATTACTCTCCACGTCATCATGTGAACTATCATAAGGCGAGATCAAAATCAGCAGAAATTCAGGGATCGAAGAAACATGATCTCACAAATGTTGCGATCATTCAAAACCTTCAAATAGAACTAAGACAATTGGAGGTTCTTCATGCTGACAAAGCACGTGGTTTAGATACTATGAAGCAAGAATTTGCTCGTCTTGAAATTAACTATCGTGAAACTCTTGAAATCGTTGAAGAACTTAGGGAAGAGATAAAGCATAGGGATGCTCGGGAACAACAAGAATCTGTTTCTGCAGTTACGTCAGAATATACTCAGACAGATGGAGATTATTCGATGACGGCCCAAAGTCAGACTAATCAGCATGAGCTCATACAAAAGCTTAAAGAAGAAATAGAACATCTCGAAGAAGAGCAGAGGATTGCACTTGAAACTCTTGCCGCGCATAAAAAGAATTACAATATCGATGCGGTAACAAGGATACAAACAAGTATCGTAGAACTTAAAGCTGATATACGTCGAATTATAGAGTGTGATCAATATTCTGATAAATCACGTGTTGATACTGTGAATCGGTTACAATCTAGGTTGAAGGAACTCGAAGAACAGTTAATAAATGAACAAGAAGCTACTGGACGATCTCAAATTAATGAGGATGTTGAAACTCCTTTCGATGCATTGCAACAAACGGAACAAGCCAATATCATATTGATGCTTCAACAACAAGTGAGCAAACTTCAAAATGAAATCGAGGTAAAAGGCCATGTGATAGCTGTCCTAAAATCTCCATCAATTGATCAACAACATATCATCGAAAGACTTGAAGATGAATTGCATTATTTGAAAGAAGTTCAACGACTCGCTGTTGAAGCCAAAAACAAGTTGTCTGTGACGCCTGAAAAAGAAGAGACTAAGATCGGAGACGAGATTGTCAGCGACTGTTTGGAACAATCTTCTGATGTGTACATAAAAACATTGGAAGAAAAGGTTGGAAGTCTTGAAGCTCAATTAGAAATGACAAAAGAAATGCAAGTTAAATCTTACATTGATTCTTCACAAAGAGCTGTTGACATTCTTCAGGAAAAACTAACATCTCTTCAGCATAAACTTGATGCAAAGTCTGATACTATTGAAACTTTACAATTTGAACAAGATATCGCATCTGTTCTTCAAGAACAACTTGACAATTTGAAAAATGATATTCAAAAAAAATCTGATGTGATTAAAACGTTGAAAAAAGATCTAGTGGATAACAATCTGCTTGAACAAACATTATTTCAAAAGGAAGCACAAACCTTAAACTTAAAAAAAAAACTTTCTCAGATGCAAAAACAAGAAGAAAGTTTACAGAAAGAAATGTCTGAATTAAAGAGACGATTAAGTAACTTAACGAGTGGTGATGACGTAAATAAAGTTCTTCAAACTGAGTTGGATAGTCTACGAAAAGAACTCCAAGATGTCCGTGAAAGAGAATTCATCGCCCTTGAAAGACTTCAACTCCTAAAAAGTAGGATAGATTGTGATTCTGAAGAGTCTCAATTGCAAGAACAATTGGACTATTTGCGAAGTGTAGAGTTGATGCAAAAGAACAGAATAATAGCATTAGAAAATAGAATTTTGGAGAAAGGCGAACATATCGATGAATTTCTTTTTCAACTTCGAACTGATCTAGTTTTAGCCAAAGAGTCCAAAATTTTACATCTTAGGACAATTGAAGCTCTAGAAACAAAACTACAAAGCATTGAAGATAGAACTCTAGCCAGCACACTACAGCTTGAAATGGCAGAGATGAGATTTAAAGAATCTCAACAATTAGAAAAAATACGTAACCTTGAATTGAATTTGAATCATCAAACTGCAAATGATATTCATCATATTAGATGCATGCTTGAGGAAATTAAAGATATTCATAGTCATGAATGGAAGCAATCGGAAGACATTGAGCTCACAGAAACATCTTTAGGATTAGTAAAAAGTGAATCTGACATTTCCCTTCTTAAGGACGAGATAACTATCCTAAAAAATTCAAAAGTTACACTTAATAAAACCATTCAAGACCTAAAATTCAAACTTGTAGATTCCCAAGAACAGCTTTCGAATCTTGAAACTTTAAAAGCAGAAATAAGTAATTTGAAAAAATTAGAGAGTGAACAAAAATATATAATTGAGCAATTACAACTACAGCTTTCTGAAATCAAAAAATCCAAAGAACTTTCTAAAAATGAACTGGAACTTATGCAAAAAGGAATCAGCCATCAGAATGAAGTTATTGAATCTCTCGAAAAAGAAGTTATAAGTTTGAGGCAAGAATTATTCACTGCAAAAGAAATAAATGTCTCATCAGCTCGCGAGCTAGAAAATTTGTCCGAGAAATTGAACTCAACACAGAAACTATACGATAATGAACAAAAACGGGTTAAAGCTTTGGAAGTCGAAATAGAAACGTACAAAATTGCCGGTACAAACACCGACAAAAATGTAATTGCTTTACGGGAAGCGTTAGCTAATACCAAACTTGAAATGGTTGCTCAAAACGAAATTTTGGCTGAACTTGAAACCGAAATGATGGCTATCGAGAAAAAGCGTGATCATCATATTGAAATCGGGGAAAAGTTAGCAGTAAAACTTCAAGAACAAGAATTCATTCATAAGGAAACTGTTTCAGGTCTTGAATCGAAACTCTCGAATTTAGAAACAAAACTTGCTAAAGCACAAGATTCATCTTTTCAAAGCAAGAAAATAATAACCAATCTCGAACAAACCCTTATGAAAGTTCAAACACAGCTAGAGGATGCAAGGTTATCAGATGTTAAACATACACAATTCATTACAGAATTACAAGATAAATTAATAGAGACAAATACGATTTTAATGGAAAGAGAGAAACAATTGACCACACAAGATTTTCAAATTGCTGAGTTGGAAGCTGTCATACATAAAACACAAATAGAGCTTGAAAAGACTAAAGCATCTGAACATGAAGCAGAAGAACGTGTAAAACAAGTTGAAGCAAAACTATCAGAGATCGCCTTCAGATTGGGAAGTAGTCATTCTATTGAAGAATTTGAGGCCGCCAAAAAGATGGCTGAAGAGCAATCAATACTTGTTAAAGAGCTTGAAGAGATATTGGAGCAGATTCAAAACCAAACATGTGCAGATGCCGAAATTTCAAATGCCAATATTGCCAAAATAAGGGCGGAACTGGAAGAAGCTCGAGCAGCTGAAATAACGAAAACAGCTTTAGTTAAAGATTTGGAGGAAATGTTGAAAGCAAAAAATAATAATATCTTAGAATTAGAACGAGCAATGATGAATTCAAAAGAAGAACTTGAAAAAATTAAAGAATCAGAATTAATACACATGGAAATGATAGCAAGTCTGGAAAGTAAACTTCAAGAAGTTGAAGCACAACGGGAAGAAGGTATTCTCAAGCTCAAGGAAGCGAATGAAGAAATTACTTTGATGCAGAAACAATATTTGGACTTGCAAAAACAAGTCGAAGATTCCCAGTCTCAATTAGCCATGCAACGTGAACAAAAGAATATTGATGATATGTTGTCCAATCAATTAAAAGAAGTCCAAAGCCAAGTAAAAGAACATTTAAAACAAATTGGAGTTCTTGAAGAAAAGATTCAACAGCTTGAAATCGAAAAGAAACAAGAAAGTGAACTTTATGCAAATGCAACTGAAGAACTGGCTCAACTGAAAAAGGAATTCGAGTCATTGGCAGAAGAATTTGCAGACGCTGCCAGTAAATTTGAGAATGCTGATGAATTATCCAAACAGCAAAAAATTCGTATTGAAAACTTGGAATCAACCCTAAATGAAGCAAAAAATTTACAAACAATAACACCCACTCTCCAATTAAACGGTTCGGCTGAAATAATTGAAACATCAAAATCTTTTGACACCGAACTCGCCAATTCTACAATAAATTCACTCACATGTGCAAATGATGAACTCATGGCAAGGATTATTGAATTGGAAGCTCGTGCATCTACGCTAACTGACCAAAATAAAAACTTGCAAAATGAGCTTTCTTGTTTCACTGCGAAAGACATGCGAGTATTTGAAGACATGAAGCAAAAGATTGTAGAATTTGAAGCTGTTAAAAAAGAATTAAAAGAATTAGAAGAAATAAATGAAACCTTTTTTGAAGAATGTAAGATACTTGAAGCTAAGGTTCAGTCCTTAATGAAGCAATTATGGTCTCTTACAAATGGTGGAAATGATGTAGCTCTTCAAGTGGCAGAATTGAATGATCAAATCATAAAACGTGAAAAGGAGATTTCAGAATTGAAAATTAAATCATCAACAGGTATTATAAAAATTGATTGCCTTGTATACAAAATTTTTATAATCATAATTAATATATTTATTATATTTAGCAAACAAAGAAGCAAAGGAAGAAATTTCACGGCTTTTGAATGAAAATGAATCCCTCAGGAAGACAGTGCAGAAAATAAATTCAGATCCCATAGTTGATGCTACCAATTTAGATGCTTATACACTTTCACATCAAGATGACATGAAATCCATGCAAAAAAATACATCTCCAGATATCAAAAAGAACATTCAACATCTTTCAGACAATTTAACAAATGCGCCACCGCCTACGCCACCACCAAGTCACCCATTACCACCAGTACCAATTTCATTACCACAAACTCCTAATAGCCCTATTTCTCGATCAACAACACCAAGTGTAGCACGTCCTCGCACACCACTCTCACCGAAGCCTGAATACATTCATTCAGAATCAGTAGGATCAAATAACTCAGATCTTGTGTTGGAGATTCAAAGGTTAAATAAAAGAATTGCAAAGATTGAAGGAGAAAATTTGCAAAATCAACAGCTTGTCGAAACGCTAGAATCTACTCTAAATGAAAACGAGATCAATTTGAATTTGGCCAAACAAGAATTGGCAATTATTCAAAGCCAAAAAACGGAGTTGGTTAAACAAGTTAAAAATTTGAAATCTCAACTGGATGAAGCAAAAGATGAAATAGAAAGCACAAAATTTGAAGTTAAAAATGAGAAGCAAGTCATGGAAAAGGTATTAGAAGAAGAGAGACAGGCCAAAGAAAAATCAGAACGGGCAAGAATCGCTTTGGAAAATGAAATGGAGAAACTCATGGCAAAAAGAAGCAAATTTATGTGTTTTTAATTGATTTTATGCGAATTCGTCTGCATAAAACGTCTTCAACACGTTTATTTAAATAAATTTTGTAAATTATTAAAAAATGATTAAATAATATATATTTTGTTTTATATATTTATAGTTTTATCATAAAATTAATAAATTCATTTACTATCCATTTTGTTTAAAGTCTTTGAGTAAACATATAATTATTGGAATTTTATAAAAACAAAATGTATCCAAGTAATTTTCTATTTGACGGTGTGTATAAACTTATGACACGGCCTAGTGTTGTTAGGCAAAATTGCCAAAACTGATAAAACTGCTAAAAAATAATGAAACTAAAAGCGGTAATGAAATTAGCAAAAGATGAAAAAACTGATAAAAGATATGAAAACTAGTAAGAGGCAGGAATAGAAATTAATTAAAGAAAATTAGAACTTTTTTATATAATGATCAATTTTTTTATATTATATATTTAGTATTATATATTATATCATTTTTATTTTATTTTTTTTATTGTTAAAGGTTATACTTTGTAATGATATTTTATTTTCATATTTGGGGTTAACTATTACAACTATTTTTACAGAGATAAAAGTACAATTCATCACATATATAACTTTTGGTCGCCTATTTTAAGTAATCCATTCTAGGGTTTTATATTAGATATTATACTTATAATCTGCTAGAAGTTATTTAAACCTTCTAATCATTTGTCTTATTAATTATTTTTAACTGTTACAAACCTTTTATATATATTTATATATACTTATATATATTATTTAAGCAGCATGTACCTTTTCTTTTTGTATTAATGTTTAAATTATTCTTTATTAGAAATATACTTGCTAATAAGACTTAGAACATTTTCTTGTTAATTAACTACTTATTCTATAAATCATTAATAGGATTATGCTTTTGTAAAGTTTACTAAATTCTAATATCTACTTTCTAACATATTTTTAGTATTTTAGTATACTTTTTTATTTTGTTTTTAAATTTTTAATTCAAATAGTCTAAAAGAATTATAACTTGTTTTTAATATATTAAATCTGATCTAATGTTTATTTTTTTTAATTTAAAACTTGACAGTCTGATTTATAGTATTCTTTATTTAAAAGTTTTTGTTTGTTTGATTTTTTTATATTGGTATTTATTTTTTAGATTGTCTTTATAGTAATATTATTAAAATTTTATATTGTTTTTTTTTTATTAATATAATATTAAGTAGAAAAATAATAATACATGAATATACCAATTAGATATAATGTATAACTAAAGAATTATTTCTAAACTATACTATTGTTGCTATGTATATCTAACTATATTTAGTATGATATTATTTTCTTATTTTCTGTTATTAGTTAAGTTAATTATTGTTAATATTTAATTACAGAAGGAGTAGAAAACCTCTTAGAATTGTTGGTTTAATAAAAGCAAGTATGTATAGTAAAATTTTGAAAAAGAAGTTTAATAATAAAAGAATCTATATTAATGTCAAAGGTAAAGGTAGTATTATTAGAATTTGTTAGTTTTGAGATAGATAAATAGATGTTGTTTTTTCTTCTTGTTAAGACAGTGATTTCTCATGCTAACTTTCACTCATGTTGTTTAACATTTTGTGTTTGTCAGATGGTAGAGTTAAACTAAGTAAGTATTGAGTTTGATAATGTGATAAAAAAATTATTAATTGATTTTTTTAGAATAAGTTGTAGTTGTTTATAATGATCTAGAGTTAATGTATCTTGAATGAGTAATAGTAATAAGTTATTTGTATTGAAGTTTAAAAAAGGGTTATTTATAATTTGTATTATTGTATGTAGTGATGTTTCTAATAAGATTAGAGAGTTTAAAGTATTTGTTATTTTGTTGATGAAAATAATATCTGGTTTGTATAAATTAAGAGAATATTTTAGTAATTGTTCAGTATTTTTATATTGGTTATAAAATGAGCAATTCAGAGTTAGATAGAGAGTGGAATAGTGAGTGTTTAAATTAGACATTGTTGGTAAGTTGTTGAGTAGTACTTTGTTTCTAAGAAAGTATAGATTTAGATTGAAGTTTTAAGAGTTAATAATCTCAGTTAGTAGTTGAATATTTATAGTAAAAAGGTTCTTTAATACTTTAAGTTGAAAAAGTTTATTAAATGTTTGAATTGATAGTAAGCTTTTACAAAATTTACATAATTTGTATATAATTGGAAAGGAAAGTAAAAGTAGTCAAGATTAAGTTCAAGCTTAGTTTTGCTAGCTCCATATTTAGCTAAAGTAACAGTTATATTATGTAGTGTATTATTTGAATGAGATTTGACTTTGTGCATAATATAATTGATATTTTTGTGTTTAGTTAAAAAGTTTAGAATATGGATAATGTTCCAATTGTTTTATTTGGTTTGTGAGTTGTAGTTGTAGGGTATTGAGTATATAAGAGTTTGAATAGTAGATAAGCTATTAAGATAAATATGAATTTGGTATTTAGAAAATATAACAAGAAATAGAGAAATAAGAGCTACTAGTTCTGCTCTTGTAGAGTTTGGTGCATAGAGTATGGATGCATTAAATTTGATTTGTGTATTATTTTCAAGTATCAATAAAAATGTTATATGTTTGTGAGTTTATTATTAAAACATCAGTATAAAAATGAAGATTGTTTAAGATAATTTGTAATATTTTTTTGTGTAAGTCTATAAGTTGATTTTGGTATATTAAATTAGGTATTGTATTTTAGATTAAGAGAATTTCTAAGAAGGGTAGTGAGAGTGTAAGAAGAGTTTGCAAAGCTGTCTTATATAATTTTGCATATATGTTTTGGAGTACTTGGATTTCTTGAATATTAATATTGAATTCAAAATAGTGGTTTTTTTTTGTATTTTGCATTCAAGGTTGATAGTTTGTTTATAGTTTAGTTGAAAGTTTGTAGATGTTAAAGAAATATGAATTGTGTTAGGTGTTATTGTAGTTATTTAGTATTTTTAAAGAACTATTTTAGAATTAAGTATGTTTATTATTTTGCCAATATGTCAATTTTCAGATAAGATGTAAAGTGTTCATGTATTTTTAAGACTATTGTATTAAGATGTAATTAGGTTAAGTGTATTTAGAAATGGATTGATTGGTTTGAGTTGCAGATTAGGCCATATATGTTGAATAATAGAAAAAAGTATTTTATTTGAAAATATTTTGAACCAGTTTGGTATAGGACTTCAAAGAGATTTATGGGTTCTAAGGTAGATATTTTTTCAAAGAAGTAGGTTACAATTATCAGCTATAAGTAATTATTCAAGAAAAAGGATTTTGTTGTTTTTAAGACTTAATATTGTTGGATTATCTAAAAGTGGAATGAAGTTGTAAATATTTTTAGTTAATTAGTTTGTTTATAGATTGCTAACTAGTAAAGTAGTAAGTTGTTAAGAGAAATATTATTTTTACAAAGATAATATAGTTATAATATTATAGTAAAATTAGAAGTTTTCCTATAATTTTTAAATATTGTATCTTGAGATAAAGATGGCTTTTATATTTTAGAAAGCTATTCTTTGATTCAATGTATAGAAATTTGATTTAGATATTGAAGCATCTTTCTATATTACTGCTACCAACTTGTAATATAAGTTTGTTAAGTATTAAAATATTAAGTAATTGTAGGTTAGTAAGAATATTATTGTTTGTATTTGTAGATAGATGAAGCATATATTTAGTATATTTTATTAGCATATTTGATAGTTGTTAAAGTTTGTTTTAAGAAAAGAAACAAATTTGTAGTAGGTACTCTAAAGATGATGATAGAATGGTATTAAATAATTGTGATATTTATATAAGAAGAAGTTTTTTGTATTAAATAATATAAATAAATTAGAAGGTTTTGTTAAAGATTTTGTTAAGTGTGGGTTTGGTTAAGCCTTTTTTATCTAAAAAAATTCCTAAATATCTGATTGTTTTATTAGATTTGTAAGATATAATTGGTTGATTGTTAAAGATAAGTGGTAAAGAATTTAGAAGATTGTTGCAAAGTGTTTTTTTATTAGATAGGATATGAATAAGATTTAGATAGATTGACTTAAAATATTGTTTAGTTGATAGAGGTCAGATATATCATCTAATATATTTCATAGGTCATTTCTAGATTTACAATACCATACTGTACCATCCATGAAAGCAAGAGGTGGTATTGTTAAGAAGGTTGATGATGTTGAAAAGATTGTTTTTAAAAGAATTGTAATAAGATTTTAAGAAGTTTTGAGCTATATTTAGAGTTTATATAACTAAGAATTGGGTCATAATAGATTTTTCAAAGTAATAGAAAATAGGTTTCTCTTTGTTCAATGCCTGAATATAATGTAATTGGGTCTTTGAGGCCATAGGCTGTGATTGCTCTGGCTTTTCTGTTTTGATAAAGAAATTCAATAAAGTTTAGATCAGGGTGTAGAATTCCTATATGTTTATATACATCAAGTAAACATTTAATATTGATTTTGTCAAAGACTTTAAATATATCTTGAAAGAGTATCTATGCCTCTTTGTTATTAGTTTTGTAATGTTCAATTGTGTTAAGTAGTATTTGGATAGAAATGTGTGTTGAACTGTTTTTAGTTGCTGCAAAGTTTAAGTTGTTTAGAAATTTGTATTGAGTAATAGTTTGGTTAAGATAAGTTGTAAAGATTTTAGTAAGACATTTTTTAATCAGTTTAATTAATAAAATAGGTCTAACTTTATCAAATGTAAAGTCCCAAGAGAATTTTTTTAGAATTGAAAAATTGTTGAATATTTTTTATATTGTTGGTATTTGTTGTAATATAAGACATTTGGATAGAAAAAGCTGTATAATATTTTGAGCTTTGGAGTTTAAACATTTTAAATGTTTATAGTTTGTTTCAGATAGGCCAGAGGCTTTTTGGAAAAACATGTATAACTTTATTCTATTTTTTAGAAGAATTTCTAAGAATAGGTTAATAAAATATAATTCATTTTCTGGATATGGTTTGTAGAGTTTGTAAAATTTAAAGTTTCATTAATTGGTATATAGAA